TTTAAATTAAGTCAAATGAATGAATTCCATTTTTAATTTATCGGAAATTTAAAAGACGACAGCGTACTATCGGCGGATTCTTTTTTGGAATAAGCTTGATTTATTAATTATTATTGACGAAGGTATTTTTTTTTATTTCACTAAAATATTAGTTATACTATTTTAAAGCGCAAATCGGGTCTAAGACAATAATGTTGTAACAAACAGGGCCCAGTGGGAACACAAACGCACCCACACCGCACGTAATTTATAGCGCATACGATAATTATGCGGATTTAAAGCTAAACTGTGCTTTACGGTTCTTCACGATATCTAGAGATAAGCCAATATGCGTTTTGTTACCGGGTCGGTGGGACGGAATCGCGGTGTGCTCGACGGCTATTTGCTTATTCTCCAGCGAGATCGCCGTCTCGTTTGAACCGTACAATTTGTCTCCAGTGATGTGTTTCAAGTAGATATGATCGGGTACTCGCGATATTTTTCAACACAGATGTCCATTTCGTATTCCGCGGGAGGTATTCTCCGTTCACCTGGTAGTTAAGAATGTGATGCGAATTAACTTTTTTGTTTAACACCGGTCTGTATACAAACTTAGAAGTGGGTATAATTTTTAATTACGCTTTTTAGGTACCCTTCGCTAATGATGCTAAAGATAGAGTTGATATTCTTTAATCGACACCCTAAGAATACGTCTAAGAATGCAAAAAAAAATTAAAATCCACAATAACTAAGAACCGGTTAAGTTTGACGAGCTCGTTGGTCTTATGGTAGTAATATGTCGCTAATAATCCACGGGTCACGGGTTCTATCCCCACCGGGTCCAACATCTTTATAATTTTTTCTTAAACATTTTGGAGTTCGTCTGGAAATCTGGATATTAAACGGGTGGTAGAAATATACAAATTCCGTGCGGGTCACAAACCACGGATGAGAAAGCCGTGAAGCTTAATCGCGTTTCGGTTTGTGGATTTCCGAATATCCAAAGCAATAATAGATGCTATAGACTGGGGTTCTCTATCTTTCAAAATAGAGACAGTAAGAATTCGTTAACTTTCTCTTAGCGTATATTTTAATGTGGCTGAAATAAATAGGCGATAAATAAACATGAATCGTAATCAAATTCGACGGCAGATGCGCCGTTCTGGCATATACGCGTACGGCAATAACGGGTGGAGTGGCACACCTCGCCACGCAAAAAGCGAGCTATTGCTGGAATCACTCATTAACTTATTAAGATGATAATTTATTACGTGGAGGGAGACAATTTTACGATCGATATAGAGTTCTTTGCTGTACTCAGGTACGCAGAGGCTTTTTGTTCGCTTCTAGTAAGTACTATAAAAGAATGCGTGTTTATTTTTTTTTGTTCAATGTTTGTACTATAGAGATACTTAAATGAAAATTTGAATTATAATTTTCTTACTGTCGAAAAATTAGTTACTGTGTTAAAATTTTACAACAAAACGGAACGCAGAGCCTCAAGAAGATTTTTATATTAATAGTATCTTGACTACGGATAAAATTAGTTATTCATACATACGACTCTAATTGTGTAATTATTATTTGGGGTACATTGTACTATATAATCACGAGAAAAGCTTAGTTTAAAATCTATAGAAGTTTCAATAAAGATGACGCAACTCATTGTATCGGGGAGGAAAATCCGTTGTTTCTCCATTAAACAACCAATGGACGAAAGGTCATTTAACTTCCGTTCACCATAAACTACGAGGTGGTGAGTTATATCACTACAAAAAGACGATAATTCAATTCAATACACTGTAATGTACGTTTTGTTCCGTGCAAGTGACTAGTGCAAAGTGGAATAAGTCAATGAATGGCTTGAATACTTTGAACTTGAGCGAGCTTTTTGCCCTAAATATCTATTTGCCGACTTACACAGCTATGTCCTATAGACATTCGAAACATTGTTGAAACCTGCTATGTGACTTGTTATTACCGATGGTATTTATTATGTTAAAAAACAAGCTGGTATTGCTCTAGATAGAATTATAGAGTTTTAGTCTGTATATTGGTATGGAACATCTGTTTTCTTGTTATAATTCCATGGAAAATGTAGGTACAGTGAATGAATTTATGTTCGTTTATTTTATTTCAATAAATTTAAATTGTTGGTCGATCTTACCTAATTCATTTTTAGACTTTTAAATATACTTTTAATTTTTTAAAGATAAAACTCAAAGATGCCTTCAAAAAACAGGTATCACTTTCTTTGTAGGCATTTTTTGTACCTTTATACACAAGTAACTTATTATTATGGGCGTGCTAATTTTTGTAGTTAAAATTGCTTTGTTTTTAATTATGTATTTAATATTAAAGACTATGAACTTCCAGCCTCACTTTAAAATTCCATATTCAAATTACTAATCCGAAGATAATGACATTCGGCATAGAGTCGTTAGGGGAATTTAACGTTTTATCAATTCAACATGGCGGCTGAAACGGGGTTTTGAATGGAATTGTACTTTTTAAAAGCTGGAAGAATTAAAAAAAGGTTGTTTCATGTGTAATATTCGATAAAAAAATCGATTTATGTCTTATTTGTAGTCAAAATTTTTTATAGCGCCAAAGACAATTTATACCTATTAAGAGATAATTTCTTATGTCCACTTTAAAATGCCAACTGTAAAATTCTTGAAACCTGTCAGTATAGTAAATACAGGTGTTGATTCAATTCCCCGTATTTAATGGGAGAGGTGATGGATACCTAATTAAGTCCCTTTTTATAGAAAATCTTGTAAGCACGTCAAATCCTTATAAAAAGCCGTCTGTAGATATTCTATATAGGGTATGATTGAAAATGAACTCGATCCGTGTCTGTTTAATTTATCATCTTTATGTCAAATGGGAATGGAATAAAATAATATAATTGTCCACCTTGTAGGGAACATAAGTACTACGCCAAATACCATTCATTGATAGGTACATAGGTATGTACTAAAATCTTATTAAAATTTTTACTGTTTAATTCTTTTTCATACTATATACTTAATATAATAAAGATTGAGGATACAATTTTTTCATACAATGGGTACTAATCAAACATTTATAGGTAGATATAATGTATCATCAAGAATATGGACTCAGTATCGATTAGTCTAAAATACATGTGTTATTTTAATGTCAGAACGGAGGTCGTTAGAGCGGGAGACGGAAGTAGAAAAATAAAGGCAACATGCAAAGGTAATACCCAGAACTATTACTACCCTATCTATAGACAATGTGATGGATACCTTCATGGATATCAACCTAGCCATTAGTCACATTTCGTAACGAATAGATATAAACAAAACAAGTGGAAAGACCATCACATTTATCGCCTAGTTAGGTGATAATTTAAATTTTAATTAAAACCTTGGTTACAAAAAGTAATTATTTCTTATCTTTCAATTTTAGTTAATGGCTCTACTTACACGCTGCTAACAGATATGGCGCCATAAATTATTTAAAAAAAACCTGAAACGCCCCGAGGCTTCTTATTTGTATGTTTCCTTATAACACTATATATAGCCAACTTTTAATAGTCGTCAAGTATATTAGGTAATTTCTTTATCTAAATGACAAAATTATTTATTTTAAAACTTTAGTAGTAGTAGGTAGGTACCTACTTGTAGAGTTAGTAACTAAGGAATAAATTAAAAATAACTGGTATAAGAATTTTTTATTGGTTAAATATATTTTTCTTAATATTTCTTATATACTTTAGCCATAAAAAAAATATCAATTCTACATATTTTTATTTTGACAAGAATTCAATATAAAGCACATAAGTAAGTAAAATTTATTCTTAAATTATTAAACTATATATTTATTTCATTCTGCTTTTGTAACTTTACTTTTATGCTTTTAAATCTAATTCGCATTCGTACAAAACTATTATTATAATATTATTTGTTACATGTTATTTTGCACATGAAGGCACTATATAATTTTGTCAGCCAGTTCATATATAATATGATATTGGTAATTAAGTATATTATATAGATAAGTCAAAAATATCAATTATATCATTTTAATTATTGATCATAATTTGTAAGATTAATTTTTTAGGCAAATAATGAAGAAGGTTTATAGAGGTTGAGTTGATGCTATCAAATTCCACAACTTTTGTCTTCTAACCCGCATTACGCACGCCAAATTTAACTTTGTAGCAACAGACCTTAAGGGCAGTTTATGCCGGCTCTACCTATTTTAGTCTTGTACAAATAAAATTAAAGTTAGGTAGGTAAATAGTTTTTAATGTATCGCTACTTCAACGTTATGAGTTAGATTAAAAGATTATATTTTTATGTTTATTGTTTATGTGTTTCTAACAGTTAGTGGTTTTTAATGATGAAATAAATAGACCACTGAAAAGCCAATTTATTGGTTTTGACAAAACATTTCAGCGCGCTCGAAATAACCTCATCTCAGCTGTTAGAAATAAAGATTGAAGTGTTTACAATGATTGTTTGGCAGGAATACAAATTGGATAGTTGTTTTAAAATCGTTTTAACAGCTCGTTTTAGATTTCATTCAACATACATCACAATGAGTCATGAGTAGGTAGTCGGGCTATTTTTCATCGAATTGCGGCGAAGACAGAGGTCCCGCTCAAAAGTTTGTTGCGAACTCCGCGCTAACCCGGGTCGGGGCGATAAATCGTCAATAAACCTTACCTTACGCGGTGCGGCCGCTGTCCGCCGTCGGCAAGCGAGCCAGCGGCATCCCGCCGACTTCACACACAGTTCTATAGAGTTTGCGGGTTTCACTCTGTCAAGTCACGTGTCAGCGTTTTATCGGAGGCATGAGCGCAATACGTAATGCGTGAGCACGTGGTCGGGCGAGAAGTGCTTGTTTATGGCGGTTACGCAACGCGTAGTCGCCGAGGCGCGCGTCAGTCGAGAGTGCCGACCGATGCTTTACGAGCGCGCACCCCCCGCCTGGCGACGCGGCGCCGCACTAAATCTGCGACCAACAGAAAAGGACACCACCCTCCGTTAATCCAGCACCATTGATGTCCAGGGGAAGACGTTAATCGGCCCGATTAATTGAACGCTCCGCGATAGAATTGTGCCGGCTGCGAGCGCGGCCGATGCGAGCGTCGCGTCGTAAAGTTTCTTCGTGTATCGTTCGATGCACCAGACGTTGATAACTAATACGCTCGCGGTGGAGGTGGCTCTACTTCCATTTTGTTTTTTTCGCTTAGATTTACTTTGAGGTATCATTTTGCTTGTTAGGTCTTAGGAAATCTACCCGTGAAATGATCACGAACATTAGTGATAATAGTTATATTAAAAATGTATTATATATATGGTTAGAGTAACAGCATGGATTGCTTTGGGTATAAATTTGAAACACATGTTTTTTTGTCACTGTTTGAATTTTTGTAGAATGAAAAATCTACAATGGTTTTTTGAATTTGTGAATCAGAAATTCACCAAGCCACCAATTGAAAAACATCTAGATACCCATTTATATACCTACAACAAAGGCGGTGACTGGTTTTTCTGTGAGCTTGAAATAAAAAAAAACGATTCCTAAAAAACTCATATAAGAATCGTGCTCAGATAGGTACTATTAGGACTTAGGTAAACATTGTCTTGGAGAGTTTCATAGATATTTGAACATTTGCAATAAATCTTTACATATTATCTTACTTTCATAGCTTATTGGAAAAAGTATTAAATTGAAACATTAAGGAAAAATATAACTTTGGTATTAATGTACAATATGGAGTCAAAAAGTTTTCAAATGTCAACACTGCAGTATTATATGTCAATTATAATTTTAGAGCTAACAAACAGAGGTTATAAAGTTTTATTATATCTACTTGGATGTCACTTTGTACTTGGATTGAAGACATTTCGCCATTGTTATTAAAAAATAGGTACATCTCGAGACACAAGTTGCTAAAATTAGCTGATGTTGCACGTTCCTCGACTTAACAAATACTGACGAAATCACGTCACAATCTCTCAATTACGAAGACTAAACAACCCCAAAAACTGTACATAAAAACAGCCTAAAAAGTACCTTTGCAATGGCCAGTAGAGCCTTCTAATCTAAAAGTACACTGATAGGTAACTTCACGATTGTGTGACTTTAAACACATTTGATTATTAATAAACATTTCTTGTATTGATAGGCAACGTTGGTAGGTTGATTTTGTTAATAAAAAAAAAAAATATAGTACATAATACTATACCTAAGACCACATTCCAGATTCGACTTAACAATATATATTTTAGGTGTATTGCTCAATTACATGTTATGTGATTCTCCCCCAGGCTTGGCCGATTGGCGCACGGATGTTAAAAAACTTAGCAAGGCCCACATTTTGATGTAATATGTATACCTAAGTATACAAACATGTATCTAATGTTCTTGAAGAAATGCCTTATTTTTTATTTATATAAGCTTGGGGAAAATACATTTCCCATTAGATATTATAACTTCATCAAACTAAAATCATTAGAATTAACACAGTATATTAATATACATTTAAAAAGATAAAAGTGAATTTCAAATACTTAAGAAATTCCTTTTAATGTCCATACTACATATAATATAACAAGTTTAAAGAAATACACTTTTATAAAACAGATCTCGGCTATTTCATGAAATATGGTAAAATTTTTATTGGGGTAATAACCGTATATATTCATAAAAAAGCCAAGAATCAAAAAGACTTTACAACCCTTATACGTATATAATACATTCTATTTAAAAATAAAGGTATCAGATTATAATTAAATTTGTATCTTTTGAAAGACACTCTAATCTTTTTAAAATTAATTTATTAGAAACTATAAAAAATATGAAACTTAAATCAAGTTTAACTAATATATTTCGCGGTTTTAAACCGTTAAAATGTTTTTATTCAAATGTGTACTACTAGTGTTAACTACAGACAGTAGTTCAAGACGAACTTTATCTACAAACTTTCCAAAATTGACTAACAAGATCCACCAACAAGCAAACAATAGCTAACAGTCTCCAAAACTCTACAAGGAAGCATAATAAACCCAACCGACCAATAGAAACAGCGCATTTATCCGCCATGATTTCCCCCACCAAACATCTGCGAGATTAATGCGATCAGTCCTATTCGCTACGGCATGGAGTTAGGATAGACCTGTCAAACAAGCGTATTAATCGCTTGTCAACTTATCTTTTAGTGAATTTATATCTTATTATTCTAAGTTTGTTTAATTGTGTTAATTGTTTTTATTGTGTCAGTAGATGTATGAATTGGAATATTAGACTATATCGTTTTTGTTTATATCCATTTTTAAAATTAATTTCTTTTTTTCTTTTTTAATATGACTTGTTTACTCATGAAAAAGATTTTTTCCTTAGGGGCAGAAAACGAACTCGTTTATTTGTTTGGTTTAAGAACAGCCCCTGATCCAAATACTTTGTAAATACAAGTAGGTTGATCAGTAAAATCTAAATTTAAAAATGGAATATAAAATATAATTTCTATTACGCAGCGGATGCCAGTTCAAGTCCTCGCCGTGTTGTAATTTTTTTTAATTTACCATTTACTCGATTTTTAATTAATCTAATTTCTTATTAACTATATTTTTTCATATAATTCGTTGAAATAATTACAATCATAAAAATACTTTACATGTGGTGGTACATATAGCAGTCTGTTGGCGAGTATAAACAAGAAATAAAAGATTAATAATGTTTGTTTCTTATAAATTCTTAAAAATATTGCTAACTTTTATTATAACGCAGTAGAGCAACATTCAAACAGTTGCACATCACATTTCATCCGCCACATTCCTGAGCGCGTTTAAAGCATGCCCCAAACAGCTGATTTCCCGCTATACTCTCATCTCCTTTATCGCTCACTAAAACACGCAATAAAACAGAGAAAACCATACTTTATGCGCTCCCGCCGGAATACGCGGGCAGTGTGCGTAACCTACATGCGGCCATTTCACGATTTACGATCTGGGAATTATGAGTTGGAAAGAGATGAAAACATTATGCGAGTTGCATTATGTCCGAGATGAACTTCGCTGTTGAGTGCGATTTGAAATATTATTTAAAACATGATGTCTTACTCGCTACATCTAAAGTGCGTTCTTTACAAGGGCTCAATTTAACTTTAAAAATACTTAAACAATATTCCAGTTAAGAAAGAAAATTTAAGAAACTACATAATTTAAGATCGCTAGGTTATTGCAAGTGTGTGTGTAAATTAAACTATTCGCCAGGGAGCAATGATTGTATAGCTTTCCCTTTTGTTTACTTGAGTTATGGGTGTGTTAGAGTGAGAGGTCGTAAATCGCGGCATGCGGCCTGAAGTGACATGTTTATGGGCGGCGCGCGTGGCTTGCAACAGAACGGAGAGGGAACCCGGCAGTTGAGAGCATGGCGCCGATGTAGAAGCTCCAACTATTTTAGGAAAAAAATATTTCGTATAAATAATCATTAAAAATAGTTAATAAGTAAGCAAAATGTTTTTAAGAGATATTTTAGAAGGGTAATTATAATATTTAGGCTACCATTTTTGTAATAATTCGTCAAATATATGTTTTCATCACATAATATTTTAAATGGAAAATTTAAAATATAATGTTAAGTTTTGCATTTAAATAATATGTTAAGTTTAATAAAAATAAATAATTACAATAATAATCTGTACAATTTAAAATCGAATAACTCTTGTACCTAGTACTTAGATATACTTAATATAAAATAAAATATATCTTTTAACGTAGGTACCTATTGCAATGTTGAATTCATAACTTCGTATTTCTTATTATATGAAGTTTAATTTCTTAAGTTACTAAATGAAATTAATATATATGTTTTTAATTTAATAAAAATGAATATAAGTAGAGGCAGGCCTCAAATTCTCCACCAATTAATCTTGAGTCTTATCTTGTCATATTTTTCATTTAAAAATATGTTTTATTTTATAAGTATATTTTGCATACTTTTATGTTAAATGGTGTAGCAATTTTTTCACTTGTGTTGAATGTATCTTAACAATAAACTTTTAAATTATGCCGATTTACATTGTACTTAAATTATTAAATCTATTTTTATAATCACTTCTAAGCTTCTAAGAACTCGTAACTTCACTGGATATGCACAAGACAACCAAATGAATGTAATTTTTTTTATGTTAGAGGAGGAGAGACAAGAATGGAATTTACTTGATGGAGGGTGAAGTATTCCAGTCATCTTAAATGCGCTGCCGGCCTATTTTGGGTATGGAAATTCAGAAACAATTTCCAACAAAAACGTCATTCCGAACATTCGATTGTTTTCCAAAGTGGCATAGTGAACTTTTACCAAGACGGAATAGACACAGATTCAGAGTAACGGTACGGTTAATATGCAGATTAGTACGCAAGTACGCCACGGCCCTGAAAGTAATCGACTATTACATTGCAAGTCACGAGTGTCCCTTGATGGACGCACCAAATCAACGCGCACAACTGCGCATGGGCCAGTTAATGTGAGGGATATACCATGTCCAACTTATATATAAATGTACTAACTATGTACGCAATAAAATCTCCGTAACCAAAGTCACACACACACACACACAGTAGTAAAACATTTAAATAAAACACTATAACGGTTTAAAACGCGATTATGTATTGTTAAACATATTTGGAAATAATTTTGATGGTGGCGCTTAGCAGTTTTTACTTTGACAATAAGAACCCTACAGTCTCCCCGTGACCACGCGCAAAGATTGAGACGCCTAGCGTAGAAATAAGTTTAACAAATATATATCGCCTTTAAACCGTTAACGTGGTTTACTACATGTGTACCTACTACCTACTTATAAATTCGGTATATGTAAAAATGCAATATTTTTTTTAAATATAATATTTAAATATATATAATTTTTTTTGTTCTTAAGTAAATGGTGATTGCAAACTTTTCTTCTTTATTTTGCATATTTAGTGACCAGTCTCGTTAAAAAAAAGGTTTTATTTATATAACTTCATTAAATACAAACACCACAATTAATTTTAAAAAAAATCATAAAGGTGTAGGTCAACTGTAGTTTGCACCTCATCTCTTATTAAAAATAAAAAAAGAAAAAAATAGTTTTTTTTTGTTAATATAGGTTATAAAAAATACAATTGTAAAGACTCGCTCATATTATTAAAAAATCGAGTTATGAGCTGGAAATGTTTCTAGAGCAGTAAAAACTAACATATCGACATGCGCAACAAATTATAAT